AATTCATGAACCATTTCATGTTTGTGCTGGATTGGCGGTCATCCGGTAAAATCTTCCACTTCAAAGAATGAAATGTGTTTTACATGTCCAACAACAGCAACAACGGTTCAAATTTTTTGTTAGGAGTAACAAGTTGGAAATTAGCGTTTTGGCTAACAACCGCACATTTAAATATCAGAGAAGAAAAAAAGGTATCGATGTCCATGCTATTCAGCGATCTCTTAGAACTGTGGCACAAAGACACATCAGGAGTGAGTTCTTATCATGAAATATGGTGGCAAAATAAAACAAACACATCTTCCCTCTCAAAACATGTGGGTGTCCTACAGGACAATTGATAACATAAAAGTTTTATAACAGGGCGTGGTGGTGCAGTGGTTAGCACTGGGTTCAAACCCCGGTTGCCCCAGCCTTTCTGTGCAGAGTTTACATGTTCTCCCCGTGTCTGCGTGGGTTCTCTCCCGGTGCTCTAGCTTCCTCCCGCCGTCCAAAGACATGCAGGTGTCTCTAAATGTGAGTGGTTGTCTGTCCTGCGATGAAGGTGTACCCCGCCTTTCACCCAATGTCAGCTGGGATAGGCTCCAGCCCCCCACGACCCTGTACACAGGATAAGCAGTTGACGATGGATGAAAGTTTTATAACAAATGCAACCAGTAAGTGCAACTTTTCAACATTTGGGATCAATTATCCCAAATATATTATATTCTGGATGACCTGAACTATGGGAAGCACACAATTAAAGTCATGTAAATTCAAGTATGACTTGATCTGATATTATGATGTTTCAACTCTCTAAATTTGTCAGCATCTGTGCCTTAGACCAACTAGGAAGGAACCATCCTACATGTGCAGCAAAGGAGCGCTCCACTTCTGATTGACTATTACATGCTATCGTGTAATGTGGTGAGTGTGAGAGTGTCTCTTGCGGTGGGGAATTACTGCAGACGAGTGCTCGGCAGCAGCCTCTAATTGTTAGCAGGTTATTCATTATGGATGGGAGACAATCAGGCAGACAGACCTCGTTCCTCTCCACAGACCCCAGGGCCATTCAGAGGAGCCAAGACGTTGAACAGCAGGGTCATGAAATGTTCTTTCTTCTTGTGCGTCAAGGCAATTTGTGTGTCCTGTAGCATCACAAATCTGTCAAATCTAAGACACAAGCTACATTTCAGACATGTAAATTTGGTCAGATACTTCAAGCTATACTGCTTCGAGGTGATTCTTGTCTTCTGTTTTCTGAATGAGAGAGTAGACAGAAATTGCCAAAAAAGGTCAAAGTTAATTTCATGATACTGGAGATGAGGAGCAGTCTCTCTGTGAAACACGGGACATAAGTCACTGGCGGTTAGATGTGGTGGCGCTAAAGCTGAAGGCCCAGTGTTCAGCCTCACACTGTCTCCATTGATGACAAACACTGGAGTCTTTACAGAGGTCGACAGGTCATTTTTAGTCATGGCTGTAGATACAGGATGCTATTGAGCACACATGCAACTAAGAGCAGACACAGACGTTTTATTCTCCGAGTTCTGACAAGGGAGAACTGCTGGATTTTAGGAAACACTGGAGCAGCTTGTATACTATCCTGCACCATGGTGTACACTCTGGAGTCATTATCATGAACTCCAACTATTTTACTAGCAGTGTGTGATGCAATAATATGTTTCTTAAAGCTATATTTTACTGATCATCACAATTACGTGGACAAACAAAGATTTATGCCAAGATATGACTGAAACGTATAATATCTCTATACTATAAATAATTAGCCTGCCCAGTAAATTTACAGTATATTGGACTTACTGAAAGATAAATCCTTCCTCATCAAAATGTTGCCATGCCTGTCATCCATCTCATTATCTTATCTTGAACATCTATATTAAATGACATTTTAGTAATTTGAGATGGCTCCTTCTCCAAGTGGCTCTCTGTGCTAAGTACAGAGATGTAATTAATAATTTCCACAGCAGCCTCCATGATTACTGAAAGAAAAGTTAGGAGAAACTTAAAACTTGGAACAAGTTAGCGGGGGAATGGCTACTTTAGAGGATCTGCAATTGCAGCAGGTTTCATTCCGATAAGCCTTACAACTCTGTTTAGAAGTTACTGGCTGGCTCTGACCTGGTCCTGCTCCGCTAAATCAGTTGTCAAGACTTCCTCTGAGGCGGACCAGCTGAGGTGAGGTTCCTCCCTTTGCATCTGTTAGCCTATTGATGGAGGTCTGCACAGTGTGCCTTTGCCTTTACTGCCTTTGCTGACTTTACAGTATTGTATTTCTGCACTGAATTCAATTATTAGCTCAGACTACAGTAGCAATGTTGGGGTTATCTGGGGTGACTGGATGCACTGGTGTTTCATGGAACCTCATTGATCTGGATCTGACTGATGTTACATAAGGTTGCTTCAGTGTGAGACGATGGCACCCGAGGGAGTGTGTTCACAAGGCCACCTCTTGCCTCCAAATGTATTATGGGTTATTTATGGGAAAATGTATTCAACTACAACCCTGTTCTGATTCTGTTTTGTCTGTTTTGTTAAAATATCAGTCTTCAAAAAGGGATTGATTGCATAATCCCTAAAGTTGTTTAGATAAATGTCTGTGTTGATCCCTCTGTAAGTGTTACAAGTTCAGTCTCTATGTGTGTGTGTGTGTGTGTTAAAGAGAGATTAGTCCTAGCAGCATAATGGTACCTGACATCAGTGTTGTTTTAAGTGACATCCACTTGCCCTAAGTGGCCTAAATCCTTCAGAAAAAGAGAAATGTATTCCTTTAGCCCTAAAGACAAACAATATAAAGAGAAACTGGATGATGCATCTTTACACCACTGGAAGAATCTTATGTTATACTGTGCCTGGCATGATGAGAGTGCTACAAATAAAAACCAACATGTTCACTTGTTTTGAGACTTTCAAAGTGATGAGATCCTTTCCTTATTATGTATATGCCCGATTCCATTAGCAACATCTGAGATATCACACTGGATAAACACATTTTCTGTCGATCAAGGAGGTAAACAACAGTAAAAACAGCACCATAGAAACATTACCTCATCTAACTGTGGAATTTGTGAGGAGGCAAACACAGAATGGCAGGCTATTTATTTCATCTAATCTTGAATCCAGTTCAAATTCTGTTTGGTTTATGTTCACCTTGTTAGCCAGAAAAAGCCCGTACAGTGTTTGCCAACTGCCGCTATCAGTAGAGCTATGTTCAACACAGAGCAGAAGTTCAGAGTGAAGAATGTAAAGGGAAAGACCGATGTGAGGAAACAAACTCACATTCCTTACATTTCTCACCAGGTAATTATTAATGAGCCTTCATATCACCCAGCACTGATACAGGTTTGTGGGTTATTTGAAAAAACAAGATAAAACCCTAAACAACAGTGTCTATTATCCAAAGCACCTTAGTTCCCATGAGAGCTAAGTTGGTAATATCAGACATTTAATGACTGATAATTCCACCACATAATTAGAGCGGGGGAGGCATACACTGTTAAATTGAGCTGATAAAGACAAAAGCACGGTAGCTAGCTTCTTATTAAATTCATTACAGCCAGGATAGAGGGGGACGGGAGCAGAGACTCTCTCTTTTCTCTATGTGGCTTCTTTGTTTCCTGGAGTGGTTCATGTAGGAGTCACCGTTCTGTGATTACAGCGATAGAAATCGAGTGGCTCCCACATCGACCCACACCTGGACCAATTCCACTTTAACAGCCGCAGTGAACGTGCATGCATCTATCCACACATCCTGAATATCAGGCCACACACTCAGCACAAACACAAACAGGAAGATGTGTGGACTGCAGCTGAAGATGGGTTGGGATTCAGAGGAATATCCAGATAGATATGGACTGACACACTGTATGACTTCTTTAAATGTTAATGTTTTCCAATTTAGACCTAAATAACGTGGTTAGATAAAAGGCTTTATTTGATCTTATCTGTACTCTAACACCAGAAGGGGAGCCGAGCAGACTGCGTGTCAGGTAGTAAACACGGATGCTGACGCACGCTGATGCCGAGTCAGAGGATCAGCGCTTTTTCCTCCTGTGGCGTTTCTCTGTAAATAAAGTGAGTGTCTGTTGTTCGTTAGTGCCAAGCAGCAGCACAGCGGGAACTACTGCAAATCAGCTTGTTCAGCCAACTCGGGTCACGACTTTACTGTAAAGAGTTAACAATGACAACAAAACAACACGGAAACCAGGAGTGAAACATCAACATGCGGAGAGTTTCACTTGGCAGTGACATTTTGCCTCAAGCTATGCAATTCTAAAAAACACAATCGGTAAGAACAAAGTCCGTACAATGAAATCTTGTTAACCAGTTTGGGTATAGCATTGAGCCATGAATGGTCCTCAGGGGGAATTCCTGGGACACAAATAGACCATCAAACCAGCAATCATTAAAAAAAAAATGCAGAAAAACAACTCATGTTACGGAAAAAGGGTTTATTGAATAGATCAAGACAGCTCAGTGGAGCAGGTAATCCCATACATTGTTAAGCACCATGTGGCTCCATTTTTGGGATATTCAATAATTAACAGTTAATTAGCATATTTGTTCTGTGCTGGGAGTGAATGGGGGAGGCTGAGGCTGCTGCTCAGAGTGACGTCATTCACCCAGGAGAAAAGATTTAGTTAAAAAGTTAGCTAATTCTAATTCAACTCCACTGCAAACAAGCATGCCCTGTGGGGCTAAGTAATTAACAATCAAGCTGCTTTCCTCTCCTCTCCTCAGCTTAAGCTGTTCTTTGACAATGCAGCCTGAAACCACAGTGAGTTCAGAGCATGTTGAGCAACATGAATGTATGTATACACATACAGGTTAGACGAGTTCTTGCTTTTATCTGAAGCCCAGTATCACACATTAGACTCTGGAATTTAGGTTCTTTCAGTTTCAAAGGTTTTTATGAGCAAATAAAAACTGCGACCAAATTATTTGATGACATGAGGCCAACAGAGATAAAATGATAGGTAGGAAAAATGAAGTCGCTTGTTTACCTGTTTGTCCACCTGAAACTTCACTTCTCTGCTCCTGATTCCATGCTCACTCTATTTCTCTCTCTTACTGTTGGCTCGCTCTACTGATTATCATGCCACATGACTTCCTGTTTCTCAGTCTGCGGTGGCAGCTGGTAGGTGTGGATGGGAGGGAGCTGCCTGGACCTTACCGGAGACCTGCAGGCCACGACAGGATGAGTTTGCACTGATCTAAAGAGAAGATTAAGCTGATCTTAAGCTGTGCGTGAGAACGGTTTCACTACACACAGCAGCATTTACCTGTTTTACATAGGAAACCACTAAGTTGACCTCAGCAGCAGCTACAAGTCAGTCTGGACTCCCCTGGGAGAGCCTGGTACTTTCCTGCTCACACTCCACCCCCTGCTTTTTTCCTTCTCTTATCCGCCTCACCTGCTCATCTCTTTGTGCACTTTGAGCCCTCTCAGGGGGCCAGTGTGGTTGGACTTGTTCTCCCAGTTCCAGAAACAAAAGCCCCGCATGTGAACCAGTCATTCATATCACATTCGATCCAGACCTGCATCTACACACAAGATCCAACTTCACCGGACAAATACCAATAATGTAATGTGTCTTGTTTGCTCATGGAAGACAACAATGAGGGATCAGACTTGGGTTAAAGGGCAGCACGAACACAGAGAAAGGCGGATGAGGGTAGGAATAAATAAGAGAGTGATGAATAGAAAGATGAGGAAAAAGTGGAAAATGAGAGCATGTGTGGGTTGTCTCGGTGTGGACCATCTGGACAATAGTCTGAGTGTAAGTCTCCCTTCCTGAGGCTGGGTTTCTGGATGGGTTCTGTGCTGTATCAAGTTCCATAACTCAAACTGAAGACACTTGCATCTGAAGAGGGAGAAAAGAGAGGGCATTGTTCTCTGCTCCTTAACTAGGAGAGAGCGACTCCTTATTTCTTTCTTCGTCATGCGATGTAGGCCGCAGAGCTGAAGGGAGTGAAAGAGGTATCTACTGGCACCAATAGGTGGGCACACAGGAATCCCAGCTAATAAAGCACCTTGCCAACCAGAGATGCACTATGTAGAGATTGGCAAGCTATTAAAGGCATTCCAGAGCAAGAATGTGATGTTTTGTGGTGCCCTTTGGCTTGAACAGTGCAATTTGGAGAAAATCAGCTGAAAAAATGAAAGGAGAGGATAACCCCATCAAAGCTGGGCAGACCAGTCTAACACTTGAGCAGGTGCTACTGTACCCCTGTCATTACCTCTGGGCCCCACAGGCATATCCAGTCTCAGATTCCACAGATTCTCAATTGTAAGTCTCCCAACAAGAAAGCTCTGGGAATCTGGAGGAGGGGTGAAGGTGGTGCATGTGTGTGAATGGATGGAATAATGGCAGAAGGAGGAGCGAGGACAGGGTAGAGAGCGGATAGGAATGTGGAGATCCATAGATGGAAATACATGGCAGGAACAACAGAGAGAGGCTAGCCGCGGCCTGCTTACAGATACTGTACCTGTCTGACCAGTCCACTAGACGAGACGACAACCTGGGCTAGACTCATTTCCTCTGCATTAGCTCTCCTGGACAATAACATTACAGGAAGCAGCTATGGGAGGTACGCTGGATATCTGGCTCTAGAGAAATAACATTATCCTGGGTCAGACACCCACCTGAGCTCTGGCGTGTCTGTCAGTTTGGCATTAGTTCTTTTAGAAAAACATGCCATTTTGAAATTCTTTCAGTAAGCATTTAGAAGAAGCTAGCAGGACTATCCTATTTCACAGAGACAGGTTTCACATAAAATAAAATAAATAATTGGAGAAGAGTTCAGTTCTTAAAGGAACAGTTTGACCTTTTTGGAAATATGCTTATCTGTTTTCCTGCCAAGAGATGTGGTTCATGTCTGTACAGTAAATATAAAGCTAGAACAGCATACATTTAGCTTAGCTTAGCGCTAAGACTGTAAACTGTAGAAACAGCTAGCCTGTCTTTAGTCCTATCTACTAGCACCTCAAAGACTCACAAAATAACACGTTATACGTCATTTGAACCAATACCAAAAATGACAATTATTTTGTCTGGGCAGATTTTAGACACAGTCAGGCTAGCTGTTTCCACCTATTCCCAGGCTTTGTGCAAACCTATGCTAACCGATTGGTGGCTGTATATTCATACTTAATGAATAAATGCAAATAGAGTGGTATCGATCTTCTCATCTAAATCTTGGCAACAAAGTGAATGATGTGTATTTTCCAAAATGTCAAACTGTTTCTTTAAAAAAACAAATCAGACGGGTAAAACTGCAGGAGAATTACAGTGCCAGTGAGTCTTAACCATTGTCCCACTTTGGTACCTGTGTAACCTGACTGAGACATGCATAGGTCATGGTAGCTGAATGCAACCTTTAAATGCACCGTATTGATTTTATGTAAAAGAAGGATGTGACAGCGAACTGTAATGCGGTTGGAGAGCAGAGCTGTGGCTGCCTCGCCAACTGCTACTTGTTCACGCAGATATAAATAAACAACAATGCCCACTCGCAGAGGAGGGCTTCAACTCGTGGCCTTTTGTTCTGCAACGCTACAACTCTTCAGACTAAATAAAAGAGACAAGGGCCAAGTACTCTGCATGCACACAATTCATCCCTACACACACACACACACACGCACACACACACACAGACACACAGACACACACACACACAGGGTAACCATTGCTGCTGATATCTATAGAAGGCAGGTGAGTGCGAGCGCTCCTCACGGGTAGATAAGCCGAATCATTAAAAACATAAGGAAGCTATAAGGCTGAGCTGAGGTGGGGGGACAATGGGCTACATTTGTTTACAAGACAATAGCCCCCGAATGAGATGCTGCCAGAGTTAGCAGCTATTTCCGTCTGCCGCCTGAGTTGGTGACATTTAGAGACAATGGTCACAGTATGGGGTCTGTCCAGCCTCCTACACTCTCAGACCTTTCCCCTCTGAAGGTCAGAGGGTGCCGCTTATCCCATGCAGACAAAACTATTGTTCAGCAGTCAGGTGGCAAGTCAACCAACCACGCAGTCAGTAATAACCTGGGGAAATACTGGGCACAGTAGACTTTACTATGATTAAATATTAAGTATCTGACGGGCCTGGTTCATCTGGGAGCAGATAGAAATAAGCATGTGGGCCACCAAGCTAGCTCCTCAGTACACAAAATTCACCCTTACCTACACTTACATATCCTCAGTCTGTGATGTTCTCTACTATCCGTGAGTTACTTTGTGAAAGGTTTTGTGGCTATACGTCAAACCTTCATCTAAAAATTAATACAGAAATCAAAAGAATGGCTACACAATTGCAATGATCATTCAATTAATGTTGTGGGAAGCAGGTGTTTGTAGAAGGTGGACAGAAGCTTTACATTGAAATTGTATGGAAAGAGGTCTGACCTATTTGGATTAGACAAGGAAAGCAGAGAAAATGTACTCCTGTCTACATCAGACATCCAAGTTAGTTGCCAAAAAAACATCCCCCTTTGCTTTGATGTCTGCACACTGTCATATATCATCAATGTGTGATGTTATCATCCCAGGTGTTATTTTGTGATCATTTTAGAAGAATTCTTTTTTCTGCCTTCTCTGCACCTTCTTAAGTCAGTGACACCCTGGTCAGTGGTATATTAAAAATAAACCACCAAATTTTTACAGTGTTTAGGGGACTATTTTTTTTACTACTTTTTTGGCCACTTGGGGGCAAGGGAACAAGCTGTAAACACACACTGACATAGCCAAGTTGTTATGGCTAACATGTTAGCAAACAGTTGCTTATTCACACATCCAGGAGATGCAGAGTAGTTTTTCTGGGCAGTGCCACCTGAGTCACTTTCCTTTTGGCTCTCGTTTGGTCTCCTTCAATATTGATTAGTGCAGCTTTAAAGTGTCTTTAGGACACGTTGTTTCCTTTTAATTTAATTTAAGTTGTAGTTTTATGATATTGTAGTTTTAAATCTGTCAAGAGGAAATGTCAGGAATGGCAACATTCTTTCAAAGACCAATCTTCAGCTATAAGGAAACACCTGCCACATGGAGATAATGATTAACTTGGTTGTGTTCTCTGTCTTGGCATGTAGAAAATATCTCAGTTCAAGTCCTGCAACTTGATCCAGCTGAATTTGTGTAAAATAAATCAATGTTTTACTGAGGCTAATGAAATCTGAGCTGCAGTCAAACTCACACAAGACTGTGAGTGATAACCACGTGTTGGTGTGGGCTTGTTAGTTAATGTGGTTAAACAACTGATCATCTAGTACAGAATTACATAGGAAATATAACAATGTAATAATAATAATAATAAACTTATATAGCACCTTTTCAAGACTTACAAGGAACTTTACTTGGTAAAATATGACAAACAGGAATCATGAACTTGTTAATAACAATAAGAACAACAGCACAATCAATAAAACAATAAAACACGGTAATACAACATAACAATAAAAACACATGTTGTGGGAAGGTAAGATAGAAGGATAACGGGAAGGCTAGACTATACTAGAAGAGCCTTAAATGAAGAGATGGACTTGTTGTTCCATCGTCTGCTGCGCCTCTAACCTGTGGCCTTCCTCAAGGATCTATCTTAGCGCCTTCTCTCTTTTCCCTCTACATGTTACCGCTGGGCAACATTCTAAGAAGACATGGGGTATCTTTTCACTGTTATGCAGACGACACCCAAAAGTATGTTCCAATCAAGAGAAATGATCCCTCTGCCCTTTCATCATTCTTAGGCTGTCTAGATGAAGTAAAATTTTGGCTGGACCAAAATTTTTTGTTTTTAAATGAAACCAAAACAGAGATCATTGTTTTCGGGCCCACTGTTAATCCCCAGGCCGCCACCCTCGACCTAGGCAGACTAGCGGCGTTTAGATCCTCAAGTGTTCGGAACCTGGGCGTTCTACTGGATGAGTCTTTAAATTTTGATAAACAAATCTCCTCGGTAATAAGCTCTAGTTTTTATCACCTACGTCTCTTGTCAAAAGTCAAACCTTTTCTTAATCCTAAAACTCTTGAGATGGCTGTTCATGCTTTTATCACCACACGTGTAGATTACTGCAATTCACTTTACTGTGGTATCTCGAAATCCCAAACTGCTCGTCTGCAATTGGTGCAAAATGCCGCCGCAAGATTCCTCACAAATAGTCGTAAAAGTGATCATATCACCCCAATTCTGCGGTCTCTTCATTGGTTGCCCGTTAATTTCAGAACTGAGTTTAAAATCCTGTTATTTGTGTACAAAGCTTTATGCAACCAAGCACCTAGCTACCTAACTGAACTGCTACAACCGTATACTCCATCGAGAAGTCTCAGATCAGGCGAACAAAATCTGTTACAAGTCCCTCACTGCAGACTTAAACGCAGAGGGGATCGAGCTTTTTCTGTGGTTGGGCCTCGGCTGTGGAACAATTTGCCCTTAGACGTTAGGATAGCCCCTTCTGTGATCTCTTTTAAGTCACTTTTAAAAACGCACTTGTTTTCTTTGGCCTATAATTAAGGTTGTTTATGTATGAGTATCTTTGTATATACATATACCTATATGTATATGTGTGTGTGTATGTTTATATGTCCTTTCTGTTGTTTATTTTTGATAACTCTATGATTGCTTGTGCTTCTTCCGTTCTAAGCTGTTCTTATCTTTGCTGTACTGTTCTATGATGTGCTGCTATGCATGGTGTTAGTGTCTTTTAATTTTGTTGTTCTGTAAAGCACTTTGGTCAGTCATTGGCTGCTATAAAATGTGCTATATAAATAAAAATGAACTTGAACTTGAACTTGAGGAGGCCTGATGGCACAATATATTTTCTGTTCAGTTACTTACACAGACTAACACTTTCTTTTGATCCCACTGGCAATAAAGTCATGCAAAGTTTTTTCCATTTACTGTGATAGCTTTGAGCTAAACAGCCTTATATCCAACAGTGGCAGAATCTAGGCTGGCAGCCCGGCACGCCTGGCCAAGCCCCACAGTGATTTTCTTAACCCGGCCAGGCTTTAATCGCAGCGACAGACGGCCCAGAGAGCGTATCAGGCCAGCCACAGGCAGAGGGATGACCGAGGAGTGAAAGCTCTAAGTGTAAGAGCACGACACTTTCTCCTCAGAGCGATCAGGCTTGGCCTTGTCTACGAAGAGTCTATGAGATGAGTGCAGACAGGAGAGAGAGCACAGAGTAATAGGATAAGCCCAAGATTAGGAGCAAACAATGAGAAAATAGGGAGAAAGGGGAGGAAAATCTGCAGAGTGAAAGAAACTGAGTTAAGGAGGGGAGACAGGCCGAACCCAGCGAGTGGAAGTAGGGCTGATTAGTGTTTGATTAGCTGGCTGGTCTGAGGGGAAATCTATGTCAACCAACACAGTGGCATTACGACTGCGCTCTGCCTGCTGCACCATCTGCTAGACTGAAGTATGCATGACTGACCTGCTATGCACTTACATGCTACACAACAAAAAAAAGCCCAGCAGTATATTGTGCTGTCGTTCCCAGTGGTGACAGGAAATCGGAATGATTGGGCTCTGGCGGCTCTAGTTTTATATTTAAGGTTTACATAAGGACTAACATCATACTGTGGGAATGCGGAGGTGTAGAGTTGATTCATAATGACTGTTCTTGATGGAAAGGAGTTTGTATCCTCCTCTCTTTAGGTTAGGCAACACTAAGCAAATACTCAGCAGACGTCTGACCGTTCAGCAGAATATGTGTTTCATCAGCTGCCGGTGCTTTAAGGAGATGCATGTACTGTATGTATGCACACACACACACACACACACACACACACACAGAGGGGTGTCACCCCCCCGGGAGAACAAACAGCTGAACGAAGACATCACATCAGCTGTCTGGGTGATTATGCTGAGAGGAGAGCAGCAAAGAGACAGACTGCGCTAATAGGTTATCGTCAAAAATCTCCCAATAGGCTTTCAGCCAACAGATGGGCGTGGCAGGCAAATATCAAACATTTTAATAATTGATTCATCTTTACGTTTTTCCTCTTAACATCTCTGAAATGTTCAGAAGGATGTCATATGTCCGTTACAAGGAATCAGAGCTTAAAGCGATGTCTTCGAATGGCTTACTTAGAGCGGCAGGAAATTCTAGACACAAACCAGAGAAAAGCTATTGTCAACATTACAGATTAGAAGAGGCAATATTGGGGAAGCAATCGATCGTGCTAATGTGACAAGACAGGTAGATGACGAAACTGTTCATTTCAAAGAAGCTACAACAGGAGATTCACATATAACATTAGTGGTATCTCACCATGCAGGTGAGTTAGTGCTGTTAAGTCACTTTCTTTAGTAGCACAAATTAAACTCCACCTCCATTTTATTTGGTTGGGAACAGAAGTTCCAGACAATAGTAACTCAAAACTTCTACACAAAAACATCTGCATGGGGACAGATGCCACTGGAAAATATGATGTGTGTGTGTGTGTGTGTGTGTGCGTTTAGGCTTAAGTGACCCTCGCAGTCATTCCCAATCTCACACATCTTCAGCTAACCCAGCACTGTTTGATCTGTTTTCATTTGCTTGTGCTGCTGATGATAAAGGAGGGCCCATGGCAAAATCTCACTCATCTCTGTGTCACACAGAAGTGTGTTGGATGAGATGGAGAAAAGCATTTTTGTGCGGTGAGTTCAACCCTAAACAATACTTAAGCTGTCTCAGTGATTGCCATGCAGTGATCAGTCATACACATTCACATGGCAGCAGTGTATCACCCCACTATCACCTCTTTGAAATCTCCTATAATCCATTCCTAAATTACAGGACTGGTTACCACGCAGTCTCCAACAACAACTCACACGTCTATTGTCTCTCCATTGTCAGACGCACGCCTTCACTTGCATCAGCACGCACCCATAACCACCACACTCAAAGGGCTCTCCCTTCAACGCTCCATGGGTCCTCAGGTCAGAGGTCACCTGTGGCCTCTGGTCTCCAGGACAACAGCCTGGCAGTCCCCGACACAGAGCTGGTGTCTCCCCCTCACCGTCCACCCTCCACCCACACTCAGGCTCTCTCACACACAGAAACAGCTTTTGTCCCCAAACTCCTGTGCATCAAAAGAGAGCCAAACATTTAAACCCAAACACTGTTCAATACACTGCAGTGGAAGTGCAGGAGACCACCATAGCTGCAAGTCAAAGTGACAGAAAACAAATGGCAAAAAATAAAATAAATACATCCATCAGTCTCCTTCTTATTATCTGGCACACACTTGAGAATTGTTAAATGCCAGGACAACAGTGAAATCACAACATAAGGATTCATCCTGATTTAGAAACAACAGCCCTGTGTGTCATTAGTTTACAAGCATATGTTCAAGTTTGTTTATTCGGGTCTAGTCTGCAGGAAGTTTTGAACATGACACACATACTTGACACAGATTCCGGCTGCAACGCTGCATGTGCAGGGAGGGGGGGATCACGAAAAGATTAGAAGAAGTGGCGCTCACCATATTGTGCATGCAGGACATCTCTTGGACCAGCTCTGGTACTCTGCTGCAGTTTTGTCTCTCGCTGATTATATAATGAAACAAACGGCGTTTACGTGGCTCCGCAGGATATTTTCCAGAACTTAATGCGGGGCAGCAGAGAGTGATCTGTCCGCTTGCAGCGTGGAGAGAGAGAGAGAGAGGGAGAGAGAGGAGCGCAGGCTGGGACTGTCTCGTCTTGTTTCCCTCTCGGAGGTTTGAACAGCGGAGAGCAGAGTGAGAGGAAACGTGAGAGGCAGGGGAACATGTGCCTGTCCCCCGGTAACTGGACTGACACACTTCAAGTTGGGAAGAGGGACAGCGCCATCTAGCGACCAGGCATGTAGGTGCGCTACATAAACAAAAAACACCCAGTTTGTGCTTGACCCCAGGGCTGGATTACCAACTGGTAAAATGCTGCGACTCCCCCAAGGGCCCCAAACCCTCCAGGGCACACAAAAGTCTTAAGTTCATTGCTTGCTTGATGGTTTAGTCATTTGATTCATTTTAAATGCCTAAAATCCCATATCAAGTAATGCAGGTCCTGCTTTATGTTGTTGGTCTGTCTTGTAGAAGGGCCCTGTGTCAAAATCTTGTTATTTTTTTTCACATTGTGTTCATATGCTGCATATTATTAAATAAAGTTTTGCCACACACTAACTGCTGGTTGGTCTGTGTGTGTAGTGTGCTGTTTGCACTGTACTTGAGCACACTATGGAGAGGGTCAGAGGTAAGGGCTCAAGAGTGGCCCACATCTAAGTGTTGCCACTGGGCCCCCTAACACACTAATACAGCCATTTACTTCTTCTTATTTCTGTAAGGCTTCTGTAAGGCTTCAACTATACATATATATATATATATATATATATATATAGGTAGATTTATTTATCACTGGATTATTAGAATTGTTGCAGATTTATTTTCTACTGATTTACTAATCCACAAATCATTTCAGTCATACATTTTTGTCTAGAGCAAACATGTTTTAGTTTTAGATTTGTTTCTCAGTATAACAACATCCATAAATAAATGTAATTGTGAAAATTACAAGATTATGGTATGTATGAAAATATTATGAACATTACAACTTAGTGTTAATAATGATCAACATTAATTAACTTAAGATATCACAATATTGAGATACTAAACGCATATTACACGATAATGCAGATGCTTTATCTGCTAAAAATAATAATATCATCACAACTGTTTGTTTTATTTTTATTTTTATTTTCTTCATCTTTGGCAGGGTCATGCACAATAAAAAAATAAGTAGAAAAAGACAAAGAAACAATGTGTGTATACAAAACTTTTAGTATGCAAGCTTGAAGCACAACAATTTACATACATTAATCATTTTCTTGTAATTATGTATTCATATGTGACTGATAAAATAGTGAAGGCTTCCACCACCCTCTCTTTCTCTCTCTGTCTTGTCTCAGTGATATCATCCAGTTTTGATGGTTTATGGTTTCTTAGGTTTGGCTTTGGGGACCACTTTCACGTTGGTGGACACTGATGTGCCCCCTTGCAGGTTCTGGGCAGTGCAGGTGTATGTTCCCTGGTCCACATCTCTCACCTCGTCCACCAGGAGGATGGACTGAGACTGCTGTCGAGCCGCTCCTCCACTGACTGGACTGATGCTCTCTTGTGTGTATAGAGGCCTCCCAATCTGCAACCAGCACAGGTGCTCTGTTCAGTTTGATATATAAACACATACTGTACAGCAGTGGGAAGGGTTGAGCCACAGCAAGGGTGGAGATTTGGGGCTGGGGGTGGAGGATGAGCAGATTCATGTTTGTGATGATTCTCATTCATCCAGGTCTCAGTTATCCACGGTGGGTTAAAATCAAGGGCAAATGGACTTTTCGAGTATCTTCAACCAAGGCCAGTTGCTCTTCATTTATCCCACCTTGGATAATATGATTCATGAGGTGACATAAACAAATAGAAGTGCTCTGATGCTAGCAAGGCTATGTTGCTAACCTGAGACTTTTGTTTATTTCAATCGCTGATATTGTTAAAGATTAATAAAATTTAATCTCATAACTTTTGCTGAACTTTTTTCGGCTTCTGAAGGCATCGCAACAGCAAAAGTATGAGAACCACTGGTGTACAGCATGTGAGAAAAGTGACCTCTTCACAATAACCCCTTATGTTTGCAGCCTAAATATTTGTAAGTCAGATTAGTAAGTCATTAATAAATAGTTATAGGCCTGGATGCTCTGCAGTACATAGGTTAGATGCTTCTTAACTAATAACAAACTAGCTCTAAAAACGCAGTATGCTATAATAACAGAGGGTGTACCCCATCACTTCATTTGTCTCACAAATAACCGGAAATGTATTTTTTATGCATCTAAATGGCTTATTACTGATCTGTAGCGCATTAATAAATTATATATTATCATTATCAAACAGCCCTCTCTCCCTGAGCGTCTAACCTGCTGTCCTGGGTACTCCCAGGTGAACTCTACAACCACGTCCTGTTCTCCCAACACGGAGCAGCTGACACGCAGATTCTCCCCCACTGCCACCGAGCTTGACGAGGCCTGGATCACTGGAGCAGGAGGAGCCATGGGGTCTAATGGCAAATGGGGAATGTGAGTTACTTAACACCAAACATTTATTGATTCAACAGTGACTTGTATTAGTCAGCATAAGTCTAAAGTCTTAAAAATGTAAATGGGTACAACAATGCCGTCTTCAAGTAGTAGCACTACTTTATGTACAAGTGTGTAGAGAAAGCTACTCAACAACAAAAGTGCTTATCCAAACAGTTACTTCTAGTAGTGATAATCTGTCATTCCTTTTTTCTGATTTATCGTTTAGTCTATAAAAGGTCAAAAATCTAAATCTACAATTAGAAAAGCTGAAGTACGAAAGTCGAAATACAGAGACTGAAAGAAGGTGAATTTGCATGCGGAATCAAGTTGAAGTGTCAAACGTTTGAATCAGCTGCAATGGAAGTGCGGAAAATAGTTGAAGAGTCAGTTGAAGTGTATGCAGAAAAAATGGCCTGGATGTGAAAGTCCTGAGAGAAATCACTGCCAGTTCAAGTGAATAAACTGAAACATGTTTTTAGTTGAAGTGTCGGCTGAAGTGTGAAGCACTGAAAGCAATTTGAGTAAACTGTGTTTGAACCGTGGAAATTGTGGGCGTTTGAATAGCTGAATAAAAAAAGTTTTGTGTGGTTGTGAAACCCTGAGACCTGAAAGGGTGTGAAGTGTTAGTTGGGCTCTAAGCATTGAAAGGAGTAGAACTGTCAGTTGTTTGTTTTGATCAACAGTCAAAAAGCACACAAACTGTATAAAAAATAAAAAAAAATCCTCACATTAGAAAAGTGGGAACCAACAGTATAACTACATGTTCATAATATTACTCTGCCTTCCTGTCTGATGCATGCTGGCAGACCCTTTGTCCCTGATCAGCAATAGGCAACACATTCATTTGTGATTTAGGGAACGGACGATTTCGTGGCAGCACTCACACTTCACGTAGATGAGCATGTACTTGGTGGAGCTCTGCCTCAGGTTGCCCAGATTGGCTTCACAGTACAACTCTCCAGCATGATAAGGCCGGGGTCGATGAATGGTGAAGCCCTTCCTGACATTAAAGGAGATTTCTGTCCCGTCCACCGCCACCTCCCTTTGTGGAAACTCGCGGTGCAGGGTTACTTTGGCCTCGGGTGACGTCACCTGGCAGGGGAGGAGCGTTGGCCAGTTGGTTCTCAGCTGAATCACCTCGTAGTAGTCAGACGATGGAACAAATAGTTCTTGTGGATCTGATTGACGCAGTGATAAGATATGGCAGACAATAAAATAACATGTGAATGTAAAAAGGCTACCTGGGGGTGAAATAAAGCAGAGGCCAGCAGTTTTGAAATGTGCATGGGTAAGCATCAATAAAGTTTATTCACTGTACCGGGAAAGAAGACAAAGACTTTGATAGCTTTGTCATACTCCTTCCTGCAGTCTGTGTCTTCACAGTACATAGGATAACAGGTGTACTCCCCTGTGTCTGCACCGGTAGTGTTGACTAATGTCAGAACGCCATATCGCTCGTGTTGGACAATCCTGCAGAGCCAAAACAGTCAGAGAACATACTGACTCTCCAACAGATTTTCATCATTCTATCATTAGAAGGATAAATTGTACATGATTTATCAACCCCTTCGCTTACCTGAGCCTTCCATCATCATCCTCCTCCAGGTACGAGGGGACACTCCATTGCACAGGTTTACCCCTGCACCTCAACTCCAGAGTGTCTCCTGTCTGCACACTTATAGTTTCTCCCACTTTCTTGAACTTCCCTCGGTTTAGCACCTTTATGTGTGAAATGCAAAATCATACAGTTCTACTAAAATATCACAGATGCAGTCAATTTGTCTGTGTTTAATGAATGCTCTTTTAATATATCAAACGTTATTGTGTGCTAGATGAAATACCTGTGTGAGGAAGTTCTGTGCTGGGGCTGCTTGTTTAGCTTTGATTTTGGGTTTGGCTGTTACTGCTCTGGGCCCTTTATTTGTTGATTTCCCAAGTCTGGGTTTGCTTGGCTTCGACCTCCTCCCTGGAGTGGTCTTCTGTTCGTGGGAGTCTTTTTGACAATAAGCTACACAGGGTGCAAAGTACATGCATCTAAAGTTTGCAAATATAGATGCAGTTAAATGTTTAATGATATGAATAGAATGATAAGTAGTTACTGTCTTAAAAAAGATTGCTCTGTGTGGCAATGGTGTCTAGAATGAGCCATGTCATGCATTAGGCCAACAAAAATCTCCTCTCCTTAGTAAGTCTAGGAACACGTGTTCACAGAGCCACAAGTGAATAAAGTCACTTACCTAACTCGAAGATTATGGCACAAATAAGGAGAGCGCTCAGCAACAGCCTTCCCTTTGACCCAAACAAGTTCACCAAAGGCATGATTGATCACAGTGGGTTATCAAAGTGGTCTGTGGACTGTTAGTTTCTGCAGTTCAACATAGAGAACGTACTGCAAAAATCAAAAGCAAGGAAGGAGAGAGAGAAGAGGAGGAGGACAGAGACTGTGAAATGAGCTGTCAGCTGTTTACCAGAATAACACAAATTCCTCCTCCTGAGAGTGGCATTAGTACCCCAAATTCCTCCTGACTGGCTCAACGGAGGCTTTCAAGCCTGTCTGAACCAATGAGGGTCCAGAAACAGAGGGTCCTCCGCGTGGAATCGCACAGCCTGTTTGCTTAGCTGCTGGACTGGAAGTGTGCTAGCAGAGTCTGGCCCTCCAAAACACACCAAACAGCCCAGACAAAGACTGTGGCATGGTTATTACAAACATTTGGTGCCCAATAAACCTTGTGTCCTACATATACTGATTGTCTTTCCACTGGGAAAACAAATCACAGGCTCAACCAGCTTTATAAAATGCACAAAATCATATTATAAAAATAATCATCTGCTTATCTAGTAAGGTATATTTATCTATTGCGAAAGGCATACAACTTTTTAATTTGTCATGCTTCATGTAATTTCATGCAAACAGCCTTGAGGTGCTTTTTAAGGTACAAGGTACAAGGCATTTTTATTTGTCACATTACAACAGGTTGTAAAGTGAAATTGAGTTTATAACTCCCTTCTGCTATGTAGCAGACACTATACAGTAATATAAAAGCAATAATAAAAATGGTAGACAGAAATAAACTATATGCATCGGAGCAGGACACCAACAATATAGTGTGAAACAATTCTATGAAAACAAGATATTAATGTGAATGCCCTCTAGTATTTAATGTGAAGAACTTGTGATTTTAGGCTATATAAATAAACTTGAATTGACTGGATATCTCTGTACTCACCAATAATCCTCTGACAAATTACATGTTTCTAAACAGGAAAAGAAATCAAGGTTTTGCATATTTGATTAAATCCACAGCATGCTGTACACAGTGAGAACAATGTAAACCTTTCCTTGTGAGTGACTAGCTAAGCCGCGATTTTGAACATGACACAGGTAAGCCGCTGTGAAAGGTCCTTTTGTTCCCTGTGAACTATAATGGGTAGTGAGCCTCTGGTAGTGGGTCTCTGGCACTTTTTCTGAGATAACGAGTGGAACTCTTTTCATCAACGTGCCCTTCAGAAAATTACCTCCAGATTGTAGTCGTGTTGAAAACCGGATTCTCTCTTTTTTATTATTAAGGAATACATTTGCAATATATAATTATAAAACATGTACAGTTTCCATATTTACACACTAACATTCGCAAGATTATCTGTATCTACATTGTACATACAGTCTTACTCTATATTTTTATGTGTAAAAAAACCCCTAACATTTAAAATTGAAACTAAAATGTTTAACATTTTACAATTGATATGAAAAGTGTATCTATGTTATTTAAGTGTTATAAAATTATAAATTATCAACAGTTTGAGCCCTTTTGTTCTTTTTCTTTTTAAACACAGGTGTAAACTACAAAGATACAGGCAGCATATACACGTCCAAAAATATGTCAGGCATCATTTCAGTGTTGACAATAAGAATATTTAGATAAATGACAAACTCCATCAACATGTAATAAAGTTTCAGTGTGGAATAAAAGTCTACAAGTTGGCACATCTCCATTTGTCTGCGCTTCAACACTGTACACCTGTCAGATATTGAACACTGCAGAAACAGTAGTTACACACTTAAAGCAGTTACTCACTGTAACATATCAATCTATTCCTCTCTGCTTCAGCCCAACTCAGAATTTTGCTTCTTTAATGGTGCTCTTTTCTATTCGTTCGCTGACTGTTTCAATCTTCATCTGGCCGGCCATGAGACGCTTCCTCTGAACACTGTGACGCACGCCATAGCAAAAATAAATGAGTAACCCTGGAGAGAGAAGATGGGGATCATTACAGTTGGGCAACTCACTCAATAAAAACCCTCTAAGCCTTTCAAGCAGAAACATGGTCTTACCCACTAACATCCAAATAGAGTATCGTATCCATGTGTCTCCACCTAACTGGACCATCAGGTATACGTTGATGAGTGTGCTCACTAAAGGCAATGCAGGGAGTAAGGGCACCTGGGAACAGAGGAAACAGAGGATGTGAAAGTGTGATTTTCTAGTTTATGCTTATTATAACTTCCACATAAAATCTGGGTGCAATTAAAATATTATCACCATGAAAGTTGCCTTGGTGGCATTCTGTGGGTGCCTCCAGATGATGAAAATGTTTAATAGCAAGATACAGGCGAGGATGCAGACAATTGCCACACACCATGCTTCCATACGGGCCAGAGCATCTAATGCCTTGGTCAGAGTGACACACAATGCAGTCACACATACAACTGCAAAAGAAGAATGAGAGAGATCAGTTTGTGGACCAGAAAGATAAAGGCAATTTCAAAGAAAGTGTTAGTGGTCAAGAAAAGGCAGTAGAGTGCTAAAGAAACAATTGAACACCTACAAATGCTGCAGTAATGTCTGCCTTACGTACCAGAGAATACAGTCAGCATGGTGACTCTTCTTGAGGTGTATGAAGTGGGAGAAGATGGAGGCGTCAGGAAGCCAAACTTGGTCTTTGGCTCTATAACCTGTAGGTCTGTGTCTTCAGATGGCCCCACTTGGTACCTTGATTGCAATAAGAGAGAGAAATATGTAACAAATTCAGTTTGTTTTTCAGCATTCAAGGTAGATAAAGCACTGTGGGAGTGGAACCAGATCAGATAAATATACCTCAGGATTAAGATGCATATGGCCACGAGTGTGTAAGCAAACAGAGTGCCGATGGACATCATTTCCACCAGTGCTTCCAGGTCAAACAGCAGAGCCATGATGGCTGAAAGATGACAAACAGGGAATACAGAGTTACTTCAAGTCCTAAATCCTCACCACATGTGCATAGACGCTGGAAAATCTGTACCTGCCACAATTCCAGATGATATGGTAGCTATAGCAGGACTGCCCTTGGAGGTGACCTTGCTCAAGGGTTGGAAAAGGAGGCCGTCTCTTGCCATGGCGAACAGCACCCGGGGCATTGGGAACATCGAACCCAGTAGGCTGGAGAGACAAACGCAAACAGGGTCAGTCAACGACCATCTAGCTTGGTTACACGTTATATTACAATGTATTAATTGTTTGGAGTGCACTAGTACATTATGTTCTGATACATACTATTTTGTTTTTACAAAAACTAAAAGAAGCCAACTTTCTGAAAATGCTAACTTCTCATCTTGTTCTCTTGTACCTCTCAGCAAATTCTTTCTTACTGCTACACTGTTGCAGTTCAAACAATTACATTGTAAATTGGGAAGAATTACACTGTACGTTGTGGGCCATATTAAAAGGTTTCACCAAATGCTTTTAATACCAACACAGCTTCTCTTTAATTTAGAAACAGACTGGCTGAAAGACTGATTATTCCCTACATCTCCATGCTGGTTTGTCAGTCCTAATTTCTTTGCTGGTATTCTGTCTCAAACTGATATGAGTGAGGGAATAATTTAATTTGGCAAAGTGTTTTCAAATGGTTGTTTATTTAAGACCCCACCCTTTCCTCATAAATTGAAGTCATGCAACTTTAAATTTCCCTTTGCATTTGTTTCTTGATGTCCCTTCCTTTTTCACAGATGGCCTTTCTAAAGAAAATATGTGTTGCACTTTATCATATATGTCTCATCTTGTTTCATTTTGTCAGACAGACAAACAAAACAAATGCTCCAGCAGCCACAGTGGTAGTACAAGTTCCACTTGTTAGCAAAATGGTAGTTCCCAACAGAGAGTAATGTGAGAACACGGTAAAACGTCTAACCATAACAGATTTTTTGAATTTGCAGTTTGAGAACTTGTATATGGTTAATCAGTTTTATGGTTAACAGTGAATGTTTTTCATTGAACTCACAAAACCTTCCTTTTAGAAAGACATATATCTCTATCTTCTTGCACTATGTTAAGTTAACAATCCAGTAACCTGGTGGTGCTGCACACCTTGTAGCATTCTTGAATGCTTTCCAGGTTTTGGTGAAGATGATTTTCTGAGGAAATATTGCAGCAGAGCACACTTTGTTATTTCAGTATAGTACAGTAGAGTAGAAAATTACAGTGGAGATTAAAAAATAAAGCCAGATTTTTCACTGAGATGTGTAGTGGGTCTGTAAACTCTGGTAACCTTTTCCTTTCCAGTGGCAATTTAGATTAGTCTTTATCTAATGTTTCTGAAACCACACGTGTTCAGATATGGCTGTGTTATGATTATCTACCTCTCTTTTAACATCATATTTCTCCTTTACGTCACACTGGGGATGCACTGGGATGGTCTACATCTATTTGTATCAAAGTGCTATCAAAAACAACCCACTATATCCTCAGAAGTTATGGAAATCTAGAAGTCTTACCAAGCATGGGCTGAAAATTGGTGCATTTTCTAACAAAAAACAGCATTGGCTTTGTATCAGGGGATCACCAGAGTTATTAGGATCCTCTGGGGACCATGAATGTCTGTACTACACTTCATGGCAGTCGATCCAATACATGAATGAATGACTCTGTCAGACTAACATTGCAATCCCAAGAAAGTTAAACATTTTTAGCCCATAAATTGTTTTCCCTGACCCTGACTGTACTACCAGTAGTTTCATACCTTGTGGACAGGGCACACAGCGATCCCACAGCCACAGCGTATTTGGCGGGAGCCCACCCGACATACTCAAAGGCCACTGGCAGGGGGCTTTTTTTACTGAGCATGTAGTAAGGCATCATCAGGGTGAGAGCAGCAGACACAGCAAAGTAGGCCAGGAAACAGATAAGTAGTGAGGCCACAATGCCCAGAGGGACAGACTTCTGAGGGTTCTTCACCTCCTCACCTGTGGAGAAAGAAACGCGAGATGTCAGTGACACTGATGATATTTCTCCTTCGTGTCTGTCATGCTGTCATGTGAAATCAAAAGAGCAATATCCCAAAAATATGACTGTTACAATTTTGATATCCAACAATCCAACAACGTTTTAAAAGTTTTGAAAATTGAAGGAAAAGGAGTGACTATGGTTACAATTGGGTGTTGATTTCTAAAGAGCCTTTTAAAAAGTATTACTGTGTGTGCTGGATAATCTTTGGTTGTATCAAAGCTGTTGTAATATAATGTATTACTAATGATGACTTATTAACGTTGTAAATAATTAAATTATTTTCTATTTTATATTAGGTAATATCAATAAAACATGGCCACAGTGTGTTTTATAAATACTGCTTAATTTATTCATTTATTTAGGTTTATTATATGATACAAGAGAAGGAATATCATTAACTGATGATTTAGCAGTGTAAATGTGCAATACTGTGATCATTCACGATAATATGAAGAATAATCATTTACTCCTTATAAAATAATAAATTAGTATGTAATAAGTGTCATAGCATCATCTTGACAGTAAATCTCGAGGGTTCATTACTGACCCTGGAAATAGCAGTTAGTAGCAGATATCAAATTCATTAATAGAATGCTGCATTTCATTGGAGGAATTGTATTAATCCTTACACTTTTGAGCAACAGCACACCAAAGTTATTGAAACCTGTTGCTACACTGCAAAGTTTGGCACACATTTCTGCTTTGTCATTGCATACACAGTATTATGCCTATTTGATCTCATATTTATTTAGTAATGCATCATATACTGGCAAAAATAGCCATATGTAACAACAGTGACAAAGGGAGAAATTGTCCTCACCTGTTGTAGCAATGCAGTCAAATCCAACAAAAGCATAGAAACATGTCGCAGCTCCGGCTATCGTTCCACTAATGCCATATGGGAAGAATCCACCCACTCCATACATACTTGTCACATTGGCAGTGGAGCTCAAGTTTCTAAAGTGGGTTAGAGAGCATTATTTTGTAGTTATTTACATTAAGATAACAAGGAGAGTAATGTATTTCAATAAGACAGGATCCTGCACTTACTTGAATTCTGCTGTGGCGTTTATAAGAACATCTTCACTGATTTGCCAGTTGGAGATGTGTCCCTTGATGAACCCAGAGATGATCACAAACAGCAGCACCAGGATGTTGATCGCTGTGAAGATCTTGTTGATTGTTGTTGACTCTTTCACTCCAAATGCCAGCACACCTTCATGGAAAACATGCAGAATGTTTATTTTGTGTGTGTACGTATAACTGTTGCCACCTTAATTACACCGGTGTCATCATTTTACCTGACAGTATCAAGACGAGAACAGCAGCAAAGACATCTGGGTAAGGTGCCAGGCCAGGGAGGCCAATGGCTGCATTTTCTTCAAAGTATTTCGATATGACGCCCCCTATGAGGTCATCAAATGTCCCACTCCACGCCAGCGCAACGCTGGATGTCCCTGAGTAGATTGTGACAGAAAGATGAAATAAACTTATCAGCCTGAGTCACCATTTAATTGTAGTCATAAACAGAGAATAACAATAGTGCTATTTCCTTCCCTGCAACACTTTATTTCTCCGTTATTTTAAACCACATTCCTGGTTTATGGGATTATCATCGTGCAAGCAAAGCGGTATAAAAAAAACAAGAACTAAACCTTCAAACCATTAACAGCCATTAATAATCTGCTTATACAGCAGGTGAAAGGTCACAGAGCGTTTAAGAGTCTCATGCTGATGGTTGATCAGTTATGGGTTTTAGAATTCAATGAGCCAAACATGTTACATTAGAGTAAAATATCTGTTTTTTCAGAGGATGGAAAGCAGAGATTAAATTGAAATCTTTTTTTTTTCCTGTACATTTATGGCATATAGAGGTAAGATTACTTATCATTAACATTTAACATCAACATTTTAGAATAATAGACATGATCATCGATTATAATTGATATTGCATGAAACAAATCCTGTGTATCACACTTGCCTATTACGTAGGAGAGTAACAGATTCCACCCAGTGATAAAAGCCAGTAGCTCTCCAACAGTCACATAGCTGTAAAGGTACGCTGAGCCTGTTTTGGGAACCCGGGACCCAAACTCTGCGTAGCACAGCCCGGCGAATATGGATGCCAGGGCGGCGATGAAGAAGGAGATTATGATGCTGGGTCCGGCAGTTTCTCTGGCCACCTCCCCAGACAGGACATAGACCCCAGCCCCTAGAGTGCTGCCCACGCCAAGGGCCACCAGGTCCAGAGTGGTCAGGCATCGGTTAAACGTGGACTGCTCCCCCTCGGGCTCCAGGGGCTTCGTCCGAGACAGGCTCACCAGAAAGGACTTTACGCTGCCACACGGCATGCTTCTAGGGGTTTGGATCAGGATGGAAAGATAGGGAAATGATAAAGGAAGAGACAGATGGGAGTGCAGTTTGATGTCATTGGGAGAGACGTAGTCAGTGGAAGAAAAGGTGAGGGGAGAGGAGTGGGGAGGAAAGGGCAGATCAGTGAACCTGTCAGTGAATAATTGTCAGGTCAGCTCCACAGTTGAACATTTCCTCTTCAAAGAAACATTACTCTTAAAATCTCTTTTTTAATTTAACATTGGCCTTACATTGGCAAAATGAACTATTTATTCTGAAAAAAAGAAACTTGGAAAAATTCTGTTTGGTCAAAGCCTAATTGTGTTCATATGTACCTCAAATGACATGCTCTAACAATCACTGAAATTACATTAAGAACAAAGAAAAGGCTGCATTGACTCACCTCTTCTGCGTAGTCTCCTGCCTCACAGGTGTGCAAAGAAGAGACAAATAAAAGATTTGTCATTCATGTAAATCACATTATTCTTTTATACATGCCCTACTTTATCACCTCCTGATATGATAGTGCTGATGCCTGGAGTTTTCACTGCTGCCGGCAGCAGTAAACAACGCCCCGCTCAGGGACTGCACTTTACTCAACCTTCAATTACATGCCATTTACTTCCTGAACATGTCTGTGGAATGCAGGAGCTTAATTTATAATTTTCTCTTCCCCTGGCAATAAAAACATTATTTTGTCGTTTGCAAAGTTTTTTCTCACCTCACCAGAGCAGTATCATGTCAGAGATAATCGCACTTCTCAACTTTTCTTCAGGGGGAAAAAATCACTGCAGATAAAATTTGACACAACCTGTGATTAGACCTTTATCTCCTCTCTACATTATCTATAGATGTGCAAAGTGTCCCCAAACCGGTAAACCTGGGAAACTGTGTTTACATTACCTGTGTTGACAAGTTTTGCAATAAGTTATAAAATTTTCTTAATGTAAATGACTACACCTGCTGCACAGTTTCCTCTTAACCAGAAGTAATTTGGTTATTTAATCCACATTCATAGTATCTGACACAGCAGGGATGGAAGGAATAAAAAGAAGGAAATTAACTAAGCATTAAGACCGTTAAACAGGGACAGTGTTACATTTGTTGGTTTTCTTTTCTTAATTTTGAGGGTTTTCTGTAAAAAAAAAAGTTGCTGAAAAAATGTGACGCTTCTTGTGAATAACTCTTGTGTGTACATAATGTCAGCAAGAGCTGTGGCTTTGATAATCTTTTCATGATTATGCCTTTAAGATAATCCAAGCCTTTAAGGTACACATTCGTCTATGACTTTGGATTTTGTCCTTTACAAAAAGGAACCAGTAAAAAAGAAGCTTCTGAAAGTGGAAATGGTAGAAACTGAGAAAAATAATCCACACTTTCAAAAGAAACCTGACTACTTTCCCAATGTCTGAAACCAATAAACAAAACTTATAAAATGAAAAACTGCAATTGTTGCGTTTTTATATGGCATTCCCTCCAGAACTTTACAGTGTTCTTTACAGTGTGTTTGCATGCAAGTGTTGCTTAGAAAGAAACTTGTGGCCTCATCATTTAAGCTGTGCTAGAGTTTTCCTGCTTTTCTTATGAGAGCTGTGTTCCCATCTCGAGCTGGAGGTGTGAGCCTGCCAGACTAATGGCCCTGTGAGTTAATGAAACAGAGGACAAAGCAGCTTTCATGGCTTATGCATGCTGCAGGCTGCACACTTACTGTACTCTTTGAGAGGTAGCCTTCTCATCTCCCAACAGGGGATTTCAGCTCACCTAATCCCCCCTGGCATCTACTTAAGCAGGCAGGAGGCGAGTGGGAAGGCAGCCTGTGTGGACGGTCAAAGTACCTTTGACATACTTAAAAGCTCAGGCTTCCTATCTGAAGATAGAGGGACAATGGAGTAATGCTTAACTACATAACAACTACTATGCACGTCAGAGGACTGATCTAGATTCCAGTGAAGCTCAGTCAGTGATCATTAAAGAGTGACTGTCTATTGAGCATTTAAGAAGCATCCCAGATGCAGTGTTACAGGTAAATATTGTTGTCCAGTATTAAAATTCACAGATGCAAGTCAAAGCAGAGGTCAGAGAGTTGAATCTGACTTGCTGGTGGTAATTTCATACAGTTCTTTACCTTGTCTTCAGTCCCACGAGGAGTGACTGGTGACTGTGTGGAGAAAACAGCGCAGTGAAGCAAAAATATCCGTGCTGTTGACTTGGATGAAGGAAACATGATTTGTACTGCGATATATACAAGACTGGCCCATGTGACCCTCCCACTCAATAGAATTACTTACAAAGTAGCCTTTCTCATTGCCGACCAGTTTGGATCATAATGTGCTCATTATTGCATGGAAGGCACAGGGTGAGAATTGTGAACAATAAATCCTATGCAGAATGTCAAAAATGCTTTTGTGCTCACTTCATTTGTTGTTTTGTTTTCATTCCATTTTTTAAATTCATGAATTTGATGGACAGATACATAAACAGATACACATTTTAGGGTATATAACTTGTTTGGGGGATTGATTGTCAGAAAACACTAATTTATTGTAGTAAGCAGTATTCCATTTTATTAAATAATTTATTTTTTATATGATGCATTTTTATTATTATTTATTATTACAACGATTCTTTGTTCTGTTCTGAAGATTCAGTCATTTTATTGTTTTTCATGTATTTATGTTTATTTTATTTATCTAGTTTATGTGTTTGTGTTGTTTCCCTCTGTATCGTCATGTCAATGTTGTCTTTTGTCTCGCAATAAAAAAAAAGAAATAACACATTTGTTAGATTTACAGTTCCCAGGTCAAATACAGGCTAGATATGCCTAAAAGGGGAAAGAAACATGTAGATTGTGAAATCATGGATGCAATCAAAAACTTTCTAAATCTTAAAATATTTTTAAAATTTTAAGTAGCCTACATAATTAAAATATTTTCTGTCCATTATAATACGCTTATCAACCGTACTTTCTTTTTTCCTCATGAAAATCTCTATTTGGTTCACTACAAGTTAACAAGTTTAGGCATCACAGCAGGTATGTGTGAGTATCTTCCATCATAGGACATTCAAAACCATCACAAAAAACATAAAATAACATCATAAAGATTCTGGTAAATAATTTAAGGAAAATATATAAGCTATAGGAATAAAAAATGAAAATATAAATGTAGAGAAAAATAAGGTGCAAAAAGAAAGTATTGGCATAATACTAAAGGCAGTTTAAACATTACATTTCTGATCGACCGTACTCCGTGCGCGTGAGTTCTGAAATGCAGTTCTCAATATCAGTGTGCAATGCATTTTCAAAGTACAAGAGGGCAGTACAGCAACTACATTTCATCACTGGTACCTCCCACCTCCATCTGGGTTTACCTCATATGGACCCCTCTCACTCTCGTGGGAGCATTTAAGAAGATCCGGGATGATATGATACAAAGACACAAGAATAAGGGAAAACAAGTCACAACAATCATATCTGACACTTCAAATACGCGCATGAATAAAAAGTGTTCTTCCTATTCATGCAGTAAGCCGAGGTGCGTGATGTCAGGGGAACTTTGATAGTAACCACAAAACTAAAGCCAATGACACTGGGGTCGGAGTCATGCTTCTGCTGTGTGTGGCACCGGGCTGTCTGTAAGCCTCTGTGATTCCTGGAAGTCACCTGCCACCACACTCCATACAATATGTCACCAATAATAAATGCAGTACTTAAAGAAATATCACATTAACTGCACTTAGAAGATATTATTCAGTGGGCTAAAAATAGTTTCATACATCATGAAACAAGTTTGTATCAGTGTTTGTGCCTCTTATCATAGCGCCACTGAGAGCTCATAGGAATTGCAGTTTTTAATTGATTTCATATTCTCACATTTTTCCTTCTGTATGGTCCACAACGCTAACATGCCACCCCATCTCCCCCTCTTACTGGAATAGGCGCCTGACAAAACAGAAATAGATCAGGTTAGCTCACACATCAGTGCCAGCAAGCTCCCCTCACATTTGAACTCTCAGTCAAGTGACAAAGTTCAGAAAACTGATTTAAAGACAGACACTTGTTTGTCTACTTGTCTGCAGTAAAATAAATGCTAGAATGGAAGCTGCTGGTGTCTGTCTTCCAGATGCGGCAGCAGCTGCAGAAATAGATGTGAGTAAAACCGTGCACCCTCCGTGAGTTAGATTTCAGTTAGGACTGGATGTTACCCGGTCACTTATTTGCAAATATCAGTCTTTCCCTATTTACCGTAATTGCACTGCTACATTCAGGCTCACACGCACTCTTTAAAGAAGCTGCGCGCGAGAGAGTCGGAGTCGTTGCGTCACAGAGGACACGTAACGGGACGGCTTGAGTCTGACTGCAGCAGACTGACGGAGCTGGTTTAGCGGGGACAGTGCAGAGACAGCACCGGCACTCTCACCGGACACCGTTTTTTCCTGCACAGAGAAGGTAAGCCATTAGCTGTCATTTGGAGACATCTTAATTATTATTTCTGACTGAAACACAGTTTGTTGCAATTGCAGTGGAGCAAGAACCCCATGAACGACAGTTTTTAATTTAATCTAGTTAATACGTGGGTATAAAAACTCTATCTGTTACAGAGAAAAGTCTAAATAAATAGGGAAAAATTTGTTAGATATAAATCCTCTTAAGTTTATTCCACTATCTCGGTACAGAGAAGGGTGTGGCTCTGCTCTGTCCAGATAAAGGCCCAGTACCCCCAGACTTTGATTCTGGCAAGTTAAACTCAGCTTGCTATTTTGAGAGAGCTTCTCTTCTCTCTTAAACAAACAGTACAGCACTTAAAACCTGGTTGGAGAAAGTTGGAGTCTTTCATCTTCCCTGTAGAAAAGTTGAAAAGGAATAAGTCTATATTTGTCCAATATCTGTCCTCTCAATTTGATCTTATCTGTAGAACTGTACTTTTGCAATGTGTTTCTAAATTCAGAAATGTAGTAAGTCAAGCAAGGTTAACAGAGCTAGTTTCTCTGTACTAGCTGGGCCTCCATATGCTTGACTTGTCTGAATGGCTGCATTGTAGGGTAGAAAATGGCAGCATGGAAATTTGACTAAATAGTTTTCCTATCAATTAGCTTAATGCAAATTCCACCCGCCAACCATGTTAGGTGAATGAGAAGTCAGGTCTTACAGAAACTTGTCTCCCTTTTGTGCTAATTGGCTGCGTTATTGAAGGTGTTCAGTTCAGTTCTAACCAGCTGTCGGGTAGGACACTGAACAGACCACCCCATCAGATATACACAGGAAAGGAGGGATCATCATCATGCATACTGTCTCTTTGCAACGTGATTTCCCCACAGTGGAGGTGAATGATACTTTCCCCAGGGCAAGGTTGTTTTGCAATGCCACTATCCAGCCCTACATCAGCATTTCTCTCTTTTCTAGGCCTGAAACTATTGATTCCTGCAGTGTTGAAACAGAAGACAAAATATAGAAATGGTAAGTAGACAGGACTGTTCTCATGTTGCATTATGTAAGTATGATGTGGATTATCAGACTGCTGACCAGATCTCTTGATGGCGCATGGATGGTTTTGTGTACAACTGAATGAGGTGTGGACAGAATGGGGTCATTTTTCTGCCAAGTGCCACCATGTGAGTCGTCTCCATCATAAAGGGCAAGGCAGCAGTGTAAGGTGTCATTTGCTGCCTGTGGTGCCTGCACATCTGATAGACAAACCTGACAGCATATTTTCAAAGGCAACAGCTCTTTGTCTTTTATTAAATTATCTTAAGGCTTGTGGCAGATATCCAACTTTATTGCCCGAGTTGTCCGAGTCAGTGCCCTATTATCCTGATCTTGCTCTTAATTATACTATGCAAAGTTGTGGCCTTGGCAACAGAAGAAAAAAGCAGCGCCTAGGAAGGATGGAAGTAAGGAAGGAAATTTAGCTCATAACATTAAATCCACATTTGGACTTTTCCGCATAAGGCCCATCACAGGAAATGTGATAAGTTTAGGTAAAGGTCTGTTGCTAGGCGCTTGTGTTTGCTTGTGTCACTATGGGGGTGAAGCTCTCCAGCTGTCGTGAAGAGTCATGGTCGCTGTAGTGAAGCAGGGGATCACAGCATGTGCGGAGGCCCCTCGGCAGTGTGGGGAGCACATTTTGGCTGACTGCCTCAATGCAGCAGTAATCTTTACGGCAGCAGCTGCATCAATCCCACAGTGAATGAGCTTGTAACATCATAGCTTCATAGTGCCAAAACAATAGAGCTATGATAATTTTTCATAGGTGAGCAGTAACTTTCATTTTTACAACAATGCCCTTATACAGAGCTTTATATTTTCTTTACATCCCCACTGGGGTTTGTTTGGATGTGTTTTTGCATGACAGACCCCTGCAATGGAACCTATACTTTTTGTGCAACCTGACTCCCTGCTTCTCAGACACACCCACTGCCCCTGCTTCTACACACATGCACCGGCCTCACACACAGACATGCTCATGCATAGCAGGCTTTCCTCTGATCTGCTGGGGGGTGGGACAGGTGCAAGCAATCAGCTGTTGTAATGGCAGACTTGGCTTCACCTCCTGTCCCAATGTCCTGCCACTTTTACATGGTCCACTACTCACACCCTAAAAGTAGGTGTGGATCAAGCCAGTGAACTGTTAGAAAGCAGGATATGCAGTCCAAATGTGTGACCCTGGAAAAGCAAAGTGTATTTTAAGTCATAACCTCATGATCCTCAGTTGGCAACTGACAGCCAATCCCTTTCTCATGCTGACTGGGTTGAGGTGAGCAGCATTTGCAAAGTCATAGCAAATGTTGGAGGAGCAAACACTGAACACAGCCGGTCTTTAATAGAACAAGACTACAGCAATACTAGCAGCCCTGCAAGGCTTTACGAAGGTACAACAATTCTTTGAGCTAAACATCAGCATGTTTAGCAGGAATAGTGTTCATAATCTTAGTTAAGCGTGTGTTAGTATTTGATAATTAGCACAAAAAACATCGTACAGCTGAGGCTGATGGGAATGTTAATGTTTTTGCAGGTATTTGGTTATAAATAAAAATATTGGACAAATTCAAATGTTGACTTGACGGCGCTATTGTGGGAAGAAAAGTTAAGGAATCACCAAAGTTATAAATTCATCCTAAAGGTGACATGAAAGTTTGTACTAAATTACATGGCAATTTATCCAATAGTTATTGAGATATTTCACTAAAAAACAAAAATGTCAACCTCATGGTGGTACTAGGGAAAGTCAGGGGATTACCAAAATAAGGATTCTTTATCTTCCGGTGACCGGGAATGTTTGACCAAATTTCATGGCAATCCATTAATCCGTTATGGAAATATTTTCATCCCTAGAGCCAAGCTGCTAGTGTTGCAAAAATAATATATTATGCTATACCAAGAATTACTGACTTATTAGCTTTAAGCGGGCACTGTTGTTTCCTCTGGCTGTATTTCTTTGTGGTTTTGTAACTTTGTTTCTGACATTTGACTTTTAAACTTCTCTGAGCTGTGGCTAGTAGCCTCACCTCAATAGCCACAACCCACCTAGTCACTGTCATCATTAGAAATCCTTACAAATATACTGGAGTATTTACACAGAGGCTGAGCTAGAGAGATAATGTAATCATTTCTGTGTATTATGTCAGAGCTCCAGACACCCAACACACCACTGTGCACTGCATCATCATGATTAAGAATGTATCACCTATGAAATTCAGTTGAACTATTTTTCTTACAGGTGTTTAGAGGCACAATAACAGATGCTCAGGACTTTGATCCCTGCGCTGATGCTGAGACCCTTTACAATGCCATGAAAGGCATCGGTGAGTGCCTCCCTCCTCCATGGCTTTTGGTTACGAAAGCAAAAATGTCACCTTTCACACAGAAGTTGTGACAGTGATACAGTCAGAGATCAGTTTCTGTGACGGAGATGAAGGTTGTTGAAACTATTTCTTTGTGTCCCTCAGGTAGTGATAAAGATGCCATTTTGGACCTGGTCACATCAAGAAGCAATGCACAGAGGCAGGAAATCATTGCAGCGTACAAAAGCAGCTTTGGACAGGTGCAAGAATGCATAATCATCATCACATCTCTTATTCATGTTTTCTAAAATAGAATCAAAATTTTCAGAGATGGTTTGAATATCTTGCCATACAGTAACTTAGAACACATTTAGACAGTAGTTCATAACTCAGCCCTATGTTTTTGTTGTTTCCACAGGACCTGATTGAGGATCTTAAGTATGAGCTTACGGGTAAATTTGAGCGTCTCATTGTTAGTCTGATGAGAACCCCAGCCTACCATGATGCCAAAGAAATCCATGATGCAGTCAAAGTAAGACACTGACCTCAAGATTCTTTAACATACTCTGGTCACGTCTAATGAAGCAGAAGCTACTTCACAATTAACTTAATGCTCTGTTTCAAGGGAGTTGGAACAAACGAGAGATGCCTTATTGAAATCTTGGCGTCTAGAAACAATAAACAGATACAGGACATGGTTGCAGCATACAATGATGGTGAGGCATGTTAAATAAGATGCCATTTTAAATCAACATATTATTTATTTAGCTCTCAACATTTTACATTGATGTCTATGTCTGCAGCCTACGGCCGAGACATAGAGGAGGACATAACCGCGGACACTTCAGGTCACTTTAAGAAGATGCTGGTTGTTTTACTTCAGGTCAGTTCACAGAGGGGAGTTGATATTCTCACCAGTGATGCACCCTGTAAACCATACAGAGACTGTCTTGGCCACAGTACTTTTAACCACTGACTGATCAGCAGTGTGTTGTTTTGGTTTGATGGTTCCAGGGGACCAGAGATGAGTCAGGAGTGGTGGATGCAGATCTGGTGGGGCAGGATGCACAAGTGAGAACATTTTATGATTAATAGAGAAGTGCAGCATGATTGGGCTTATTGACTTTATATGACCTTTATTTAAAGGTAATTAAAAAGACCGTTTTTTTACTTTGTGTGTTTAATTTTCCGCAAAAGAGTATGCCTACAATATACAAGACACTGATGAAACAGACGAAACGTATTGTAATATGGACGAGTCTACAGCTATGTTTGTGACTCTATAAGGCCGCACGTCTACACAGTGGTTCTTTGAGCTAAATGCTAACAACAGCATGCTAACATACTCACAATGGCAATTCTGACATGCTGTTTACCAGGTATTATGTTTACCTTGCTTTTAAAAAATTCAAATAGAAATAAAACACAGTCAAAACAAACTTCATATATAAAAGAAAGGGACTTATCTAGGTTACATGATGCAGTGACATTTCTCCGTTACATGGAATTTTAACATGGCTTTAAAGTCATTTAGTGGGACTAGATCATTTAGATGTAGTAAGTTTTGCAAGTTATTCCAAGACCAGGGAGCAAAGTAAGATAATCTCCCAGCTCAGTAAAAACCCTTGGAACCTGGTAAGAGAGCCACTTTTACCATCTTTGTTAAGTGTGTTAACATTCAATAACCCAAAGTGTAGCAAAACTAATGATGGGAATGTAATTACTTTGTTAGACAAATAGAAGTTTCTTTTAATTCTAAATGAGAAAAGATTTAAGGATCCGGCAAAGTCAGCAGACTTCCTCCTCTGGGGACCATGGATATCTGTAAAAAAGTTTTATGGCAATCCGGTCAACAGTAGATATTTCAGTTTGGACCCAAGTGACCGAACGACATTGCTATCCCTACAGTCATAGCACTAGCATTGCTAAAAACATTGATATTGATTCTCAATGTATGATTAGGTTAATTAAGGTAGATAAGCTGTAACACGTTTAGTTGCAGTAGCCGCTCCTATCTGAGAGCTGTAACACGTAACATTAATGACAGTTTTTTGAATTTCTACATGATCTCATCCTGTGCTTTCTCACCTCTGCGAAGGACTTGTATGCAGCTGGGGAAGAGCAGTGGGGGACCGACGAGGCCAAATTCATCATGATCCTGGGAAACCGCAGTGTGACCCACCTCCGCATGGGTGAACACAGCTCTCAGGGAAATTAACACGGCCGTGAGGCATCCAGACAATTCCACTGTGACATCAAGTCTCATAGGAGTTAATGGCACAATACAAGTTGTTGTCAGAGTGTAACTGTGGAATAATGAGTTGTAGCTGAATTGCTCATCTACCACTGTCCCTTTTCTGTTTAATGCCGAGAAAAGAGTCTGAGGCCTACTTAGGCACAATGCTGCTTTGAGTTAGCTTCAGCATGCTAACATGCTAACAGTGATACCACCAACATGCTGATGTTCAGGTAATATTTACCAGGTTCGCCATCTCTCGTGTAGCTTGATAGCATGCTGACATTTGCAAATTAGCATTAAACACAAGAATGTATCTATGTTCCAATAACCTATGATAACCAATGGATATCATTTTATTTGATTTTGATCTGTGGTGAGTTCTGTGGATAACATTTTACTCAAACTTGACTCAAACTCTTGTTTGGGTTGGGTTTGATACACAAAACTACCCTGAATGTTTTATTGCTAAATGTTTTCAACAAAGGAAGCATTAAGTTATGACCTTTGGTAATTCCATGAGTTCAGCCATTTGATAAGTTCCCCCAAGCGAAGGCCTATTATATTGGCCAGTTTACTAGGAACGTTTTGCATTCTGACCAGGTGATGAGGCTAGATGAAAAGTCAGCAATCATCAAAGCTATCAGAATTTATTCTCAAGGGACCTTATCTGTAGCAAATTTAATGGCCTGCTCACCATTTATCAGCAGAACATTAAGATACCATAATGACCCTTAGATAAATTACATTACTTAATGCTGACTTCTGTTTGTTTAGTTTTCGATGCATACGAGACGATTGCAGAGGTATCCATAGAGGACAGCATAAAGAATGAGCTGTCTGGGGACTTTGAGAGGCTGATGCTGGCTGTTGGTAAGAAACACACTCAAATACAGCTTCATCATGACATGAGAAGTTTCAATTTAACACAGGGCTCTCTTCTGGGTTTTTCTCACAGTCCAGTGCATTAGGAGTGTTTCCATGTTCTTTGCCAGGCGCCTTTACAAGTCAATGAAGGTAAACATTCTCAAAATAGTAAACAAGTAGCCAGTAAAAATAGCTGTACAGTCTGGTTACAGAATATTTGTAGATTTGCCTTAGCAACACAGTCATTATGACACATTTTTCTCTTAGTGTTGCTGTAGTATCCAAAACCCGAACACTTGTCCTCTCCCTCATTTCCAGGGGCTCGGTACAGCTGACAACACCCTGATTAGGATCATGATTTCTCGCTCTGAAATAGACATGTTGGACATTCGAGAGTGTTTCCGTTTAAGATATGAGAAGTCTCTTTATAACATGATAAAGGTTGGTTAAACTATAAAGGGTTTTTTAAAATGTACTTAGAATTAAATTACACCAGAAGACAGTACAGCTCTAACTTGTTTCTGTGTATGTTTAAACCTGACAGGATGACACATCAGGGGACTACAAGAGGACTCTGCTTAATCTGTGTGGAGGAGATGATGAGTAAGTTACAGTATGGCTGCAAGCAACAGCAGCAACCAGATGGGGGTGACAGAGCACCACATTTTAGGACTTATTGTTCTCTGAGAGGGAGGTATAACTCCAAAAAAATTTATTGACTTATTTGGAGAGTTATGAAAACTATGTGGTGAAGCTGTTATTGAAAGAAGATTGTCGAAAAGTAATAAAAAAGTGTTAAGTATATTTAATAATAGATCCATGTTTCTTAGAAATGTACCCACGCTGTACAGCTTGAGGTTTTGGCTTTGCTGAGTGTGTTCTCTTGTGTCAAAATGATAATTACAGCTTAGCTGGAGAGTTCTTCCCTGAAGCTGCTCAGATAGCCTACAAGATGTGGGAAACAAGTGCCATGACCAAAGTCCAGGTTTGTGTTCCAATTACCTGCTGGCCCTGTAATGACACGCTTTTTTCAGCGCCACAAACTTGTGCTGATATAGTCTACGCTGATAACACCGCCATGTCTGCATAATGAAGGCTTTGTATGACTCTGGATCAGAATGCTGTTCACTCAAATACAAATAGTTTTTGTTATAATGCACTTTCCACGCCACCATTTGCCTCTCTTTGTCCTTGGAGTGAATGTCAAAATGATCTCAGCATTTTGTTCAACAAAAGCTCGTCTCACTGACACTCCATAAAACTGAGTTGTTTTTCAGCCTACCCACCTTTCCATTGTTAGTGGTGTCATGGCTTCTAACCTCAAGAGGGCACACACCCCCTCAAATGTCAGACTATTATCAGGAATCTCAGTGTACTGTTTTCAGGACAAACTCTTTGCATTTATTTTAGATATCTGCATGTTTAGTGCTTCAAGCTAACACATCTGGTGTATTAAATTTCACCACTAAACATTATGTGTGTATGTAATTATTGAATCTTACACTTCTTATTGTGTCATTCAACTACCCCAGCTAAGGCCAACAGTCCGCCCTGCTCCCGGTTTTGATCCTGCGGCTGATGCACAAGCGCTGAGGAAAGCTATGAAGGGATTCGGTATGTAATCCAGAAAACTAAAGCACATTTACACTGCTGCAATTATACAAAACAAGTTTTACAGATGTTACTGCTTTTCACTGCCTACAGGAACAGATGAAGATGCTATCATCAACATTGTTGCGCAGAGAAGCAATGCTCAGAGGCAAGACATCAGGCGGGCCTTCAAATCCCTCCTGGGAAGGGTGAGAGAAATTCAGGATTGAATCCCCCAGGGACTGGAAATGTCAGACTCAACATGTCATTGTTTATTAGTGAGTTTATAACAACTCTGTGTGTTTCTGTCCTCAGGATCTGATTAAGGACCTGAAGTCTGAATTGTCAAAGAACTTAGAGCGTCTGATCATTGGGCTCATGTTGACCCCCGGGGAGTTTGATGCCAAAATGATGAGGAAGGCAATGGAGGTACAGTTTCAGTTTCATAACTGACAGGTTGCCTACAAATACAGGTGTTGACATGGTTGATTTACAGTATTATGTGTAGGAGTGAGAGAAGCCCATGGGTTGAATTAATGCCTTCATAATACACTAATAATTAATACTTTTCCAGGTCTGTGATGGTTGATGTAGGTGCAGAGAGGTATAGAGTTGGTGCTTGAATGCCATGACTATCACACAGAAAGTATTTGGAAGTCAAATAACTTTGCATTTTAGGTATTAATAACTTATCAAACACTGACTGAATTTCCTTGTGAAGAAACCTGACTCATGCTTCGCTCTAAACAGACAAGAATTGAGTGCAAAGTAAAGTTTTATTATTGTTACTTTGCTGCAGGGGAATTTAATAATTTGCTTATCTGACCAGTAGAAGAACTGAATAGACATTTTTGCTACATTTCTAAGCCTTGAATGGTCCAATGTGCTATTTAGGCTTGAGAAAACTCAAGTTACCCCTGTACCAAAATGGGAATCAGTCAATTTCGTGAGTAATGTGGTGATCAATACAGTTTTAGGAAAGTCTGTCATTAAAATATGTGGAAGGTGTATATATAAGAACAAAAACAGCTAAACATGGGGTTTGTCAGTAGTAGAGTTTTTCTCTTTTCTTCCTGGCTGTGTGCTATGGTTTGTTTTTTTTCCCCCTCAGCCTTTTAGTGCAAACTTTTTTTCTTTAACAGGGGGCCGGGACAGATGAACACGCTCTGATCGAGATCCTGGTCACCAGGAGCAATGAGGAAATACATGCCATGAACGCTGCGTATAAGCATGGTGAGTCTGATCCCCCCCAAAAAACTTCTTTAAAATCACCTTCTTTGCTCTGGACACCTTTTACATGCAATACATCATGTACCCACACCTTACAGCCTATAAGAAATCTCTGGAGGAAGCCATTCAGTCAGACACATCAGGCTACTTCTGCCGTATCCTTGTTTCTCTCGTGCAGGTAATGTTCATCATTATGAGAACTTAGACTGTATTTAATTTCCACGCCCACTCACTGGTTGCAGCCTGTCTGCTGACTGTAGCAGACAAACAAAAAAAGTCAATTTAATGGCATGCACAGTTTTCTTTCACAATGTCTTACATTACATGTTAAAGAAAAAAACACTATGTCCTTAGTGAACCACTGATATTTCATCATTGCAATTTGGTAAATACATTTTACCGTCTTTACTCTGTTCAGGGTGCAAGAGAGGAAGGCCCTGCTGATGTGGAAAGAGCTGATGCAGATGCTCAGGTGATTTAGTATCGTGCTTACTGTATCATGTAATGTTTCACTGTGTTAAAAATTGAAACGGAAGAATGGGTTTAAATGTTGCTGTTGTTTCTCCTGAACCTATCAGGAACTAGCCGATGCATGCAATGCAGAGTCTGATGACATGGTGATGAAGTTCATGAGTGTTCTGTGCACCAGAAGTTTTGCCCATCTCAGGAAAGGTAAAGGTCAAGACAGATCAGCCACAGTGGTCAGCTGATTACAAGTTTAAATGTCCGAAATGGATCCAGCTCATGATAACTGATACTTCATACTTCTTGCTATTCACAGTATTCCAGGAGTTTGTCAGATACACCAACAAGGACATTGAACAGATTATCAAGAAAGAGATGTCAGGAGACGTCAAAAACGCCTTTCATGCAATAGGTAATAACTGTCTTTGATTTGATTTTTATTGTAATATTTTGTTTTTGAGTGCGTCAAAGTGTATACTGCTGACATCTATTCTGTGCCTCCTCCTTAGCCCTTTCTTGATCTCTCTTTGCTTTGCAGTTTGCAGTGTGAAGAACCAGCCTTCTTATTTTGCTGACCGTTTGTACAAAGCCATGAAGGTATTTATTCACAGAGCTATACATATGTTGATGCTGTCTAGCTGCAGGCCTGCAGGCCGTCACCAGGGCCTTGTATGCCAGCTAAAGCAAGTGATTAGGTCATATTTGTTGTTGCATGTAATGTATTTAGGCTTTGTGTCTCTTACTGTGTACTTTCTTGGTATGACTGCTGCTAAGTGCTCTCAGATAGG